ACTTTCTCCACAGTGTTTGCCTGGTATATCCAAACTCTCTCTCGAGGAATCAAAATCTCAACAAACTAAAAGACGGGGACGGGGAACATTTGCATACAAGAAGCAGGGCCTATACAGTGATAACCCGTCTGATGAGCCCATTATTGATGATGACTCTGAAAATAATTCTGTGGGTCACGCTGAAGACCCAGAAAAAAGAAACTGTACGTCATTAAAAGCATTTGTTTTTTCAGTTTTTGAATGCAATGAAATTTTTATCAACTAAGCAGTGTAGGCTATGTATTATGTAAGCAGCTGGTGTTTGTTCTCGAAAGAAATGAGTGTATTTTTATTTCCTCTACTTGTGCACATTTCTTTATGTGGATGTGTATTTATTAAACTGTATACGTCCCTTGGTCAGTGGGTTTCTGTTTCAAAGTGTTGGGAAATATGTCAAAAGAACAATGTTGGGGCCATCGTTTGTGAGTAATAATCATGGCCTTAAATTCATTTTATATAATTTGTGGCTTTTTTGGCTGCTTGCTAAAATTCCTTTTTTATTGCTGCAAAATGATCACTGGTTGCAATACATGTGTTTTGTTGATCCCGAATGTTCCACGTTTTGTATTAACCGCATGGTAACTAGATTCATAAAAACAAAAGCAACGAATTGCAAAGACTAAGACTTTTTCCCCTTTTAGTTTCTCCCTGCACGGTGATGCTGTTAATTTTTATAGTAGCCTGCAAAATGATGTTAGATATTATGGTCATTGGCAAACTTGTCACTGTTCTCCGAAACCTTGTCATTACTGGTGTAAGTTGTTTTGTCTCATATTTCAGATCGGCAGTACACAATGGTGCTTTCTTAAGTATTAGCGTTGTAATTATATTGAAGGCGTCTGTTGTGGTGCTCAAATGAATTTGCTTCTGCTTTTTTTAATCGCAATTTTTTGAATTGTTATTATCTTTTTGCTTGGGTACAGAGTAGGAACAAACTTATGCCTATTGCATTGGCTAGCGGAGATTAACAAAATGTGCGGTGCCTTTTAGTTATTTTTCAGGCACACAATTTTTTTTTTAGAAAAAAGAAAAATCAAGTTCAATGGCGGAACAAGAGAAAAAAGAAAAGACCATAACTTCAATTGTTCCAGCCACTTTAAATCATTTACTGACAAACGTCTACATGTTTTTTACTTCAGTATTGTACGGTACACGTCATGTCTTGGTTCTTGCCGACTTCCCTCCAAGCACTAGAACAACCGACCTCGAGAAATTGCTCAAGAAATTCAAAGATCTTTTTGTGATTCGCTGGGTGAATGACACAACCGCAATTCTGGTGTTTAGAACGCCAGCTGCCGGTAACTACAATTGGTTACCCAATGCTATTTTGTATTTGGTTTTCAACTGATAGATGATTTTTTATTTATTTATTTTTGTGCAAGGACAGCATGGAAAAATTATTCTTTATCTTTTCATCTTTATAAACTCTTTTCGACTCTTGTCAATTTCATTGAACGTACTTTAGAAAAAATCACATTGCAGTTTTAAAGACTGAACTGCGTGGAGTAATAATTTATTTGAGTATTAGTTGCTGATATTTCTATTTTCTTGATATAGCTCTCGAGGCTAGCCACTCCATTGAATGCCCGTTTACGGTTCGTGCACTCGAAGAAGATGATGAACTGTTGAGTGCAATACCACCAAAAGGTAAATAGAATCATATGTGTGACTATGGTATATATTACCACAATAAAAAATTGAGCCTTTTTTTACACTAATTTTGAAGCAGCTCATCCTTGGGTGAGAAGTATTTTTACTTTCGGTAATACTGGAAACATGAAATGAAAGATCACGTAAAGCATTCCTCCTTGTATCCTATGCATGTTACTTTATTTGTATGTCATAAACAAAACAGTAAGGCTGCCTAACAGTTGGGCCGCCTCACACTCGAATTTGCTAAAAAAAAAAAAAAAAGAAACTTCGTTTTTGAACTTTGATAAATTAAATGTAATTCGACTTTTACATTATTATCCTCAAACTATTATGATTACCTACCATTTTTCTCCCTGAAGCCATTTAATTCATTTTCATTTTATTTTCCCTTTTTTTCTCGTTTTTAGACCTGGAGCCTCCTCGTAGAAGGCCTCAGACATCAGCAAGAACTGCTCAAAGATTGATTGCCCATAGTATGGGAATTAAGCTGCCCTCTACTTTTGGGTCTTCCGAATTAAGAAAACAAGAGGAAGCTCGTAAAAATCGGATCGTTTCCAGACAGAATATGAGAGACGATGCTTGGGGTAGTGATGATACAAACTAGCAACCTTTGACTTTCTTTTTTTTTTATTTTTTTCCCCTTCAGTTTTACAATTTTATCTAAATATTTTGTACACTACTGGGATGAAGATTGATTACCATCTGAAAGAGGGTGATTTGGTTTGAAGTGACTCTTGAAACAAGTTGATGGAATTAAACTAAAAAATTCAGTGGTTTGAGACATTATGGTGAAGAGGTTTGTTTTGTTTGATAACTTGAAAGAGAATAAATTAAGGAAAAGAAAAACTGGGTTGTTTTGTGTTATTTTTTACTTCCCAGGTGTTTGTGTTATATCTCAGGTGTTTAATTTGTTTTTTTTTTTTTTTTTTT